AGATTTGGATCTCACAACCAGGTAAAGAAATTTGACCTGTCTGTACCTTTCAGCAAGTTTCTCAGCCACTGGGCAAGCCATCCCTGCAGACCAGCAGTTGTCACACCCTCTGGCAAGTTTCTCTGCCACCACGCTGTCTCCGAAGAGGTCTTGTCCGAATCTCAGCCTTTGAGGGTGGGTCTTCTAATTCCTTTGTTCCTGCCCTGTTTCCTCTTCCTCAGACCCAGAGGTCATAGCTGCTTTTCGCATTTGCTATCACTGTGTTGCTTAGAGTCTTCTTTTACCACCTTACTGCCTCTTTCTAGTTAAAAATCCTTCTTAATATTTAATAAAGAACAGAAAATAGTCCCTGTTCAAATTACTGTTGAAGTTTCTGCCTTCTGTCTGGACACTGAGTGCTACATCAATATAGTAAATATAAATAGCCACAGGAACTAACTCTGTTTCTGTATAGTCTACACTGCTGCACATTTAACAGGCCTCAATATTCATCTTTCAAGGCTAGAAATGCAATCCTTTACCCTACCCAGTGCTAAGCAGCTCCTTTTTACTATTCAGCAACATTTTTCATTAAGCATGAACACGTATGTTCTTTTGTTCCTTCTCATTTTAAGCAAAAGACTTATTGTGGGTGGTAGGCCTATGGAGTGTGAATAGTTTTTATCAATACATGTTTTTTTCAGGATATGATTTAGAAATTGAAATTATGTTTTAAGTTATTCCTTCTGGTGCCATAATATTACAATAATACTATATGATATTTTAAAATCAGGTCCAGGCTGGTTACAGTGGCTAACACCTGCACTTTGGGAAGCTGAGGCAGGCAGACTGCTTGAGCTTAGGAGTTTGAGACCAGCCTGGGCAGCATGGTGAAACCCCGTCTCTACAAAAATACAAAATACATATTATTAGCTGGGCATGGTAACACACACCTGTGACCCCAGCTAGTTAAGAGGCTGAAGTGAGGATCCCTTGAGCCCAGGAGTTAGAGGTTGCAGTGAGCCGTGGCTGTGACCGTGCCACTGCACTCCAGCCTGGGCGAAAGAGGGGGAGACTCTGTCTTAAAAAAATTATAATAAAATAAAGCCAGGCATGGTGGCTCATGCCTGTAATCCTAGCACTTTGGGAGGCTGACATGGGCAGATCATGAGGTCAGAAGATCGAGACCATCCTGGCTAACACAATGAAATCCTGTTTCTACTAAAAATACAAAAAAAAAAAAAAAAAAAAAAAAATTAACTGGGCATGTGGCATGCACCTGTAATCCCAGCTACTCAGGAGGAGAATTGCTTGAACCGAGGAGATGGAGGTTGCAGTGAGCTGAGATAGCACCATTGCACTCCAGCCTGGCTGACAGAGTGAGACTCCTTTTCAAAATAAATAAATAAACAAAAATAAATCAGTAAATAAAATCAGATCCAATCATTCTATAGCTACCTCCTCCAGAGTGTCTAAGAATATTATTAGTACACAGCTATTGAGTGCCTAACTTGTCCCATGCACTCAAGATACATATATTAAATCTGCATTCTCCCATCCCATAATCCTTCCAATGATCTTAGAAGAGAGATGCGAATTTTGTTTTGTTTTGTTTTGAAGATGTGAAAACTGAGGTTCAATGAAAGTAAATAACTCATCTAAAATCATAAGCCGGAAGTGGCAGATTCTTCTTCTAAATCCCTGATGAGGACAAGCCCGTGACTCTACTGTTTCACCAGTTCTAACTTTTTATGTGACTGATTCAAAAAGATCCAGCTCATTCAGAATCTAAGTGAAAGAGGAAGATGTATTATTTGATGTCCCTTCAAATTCCAAACGTCTCTAATTTTGTTAACAACTCCGATGCTTAGAATGGAAATCCACATCACAACAAATTAGCTAAGTGGTTCCTACACAGTCTTTATTTATAGTCTCAGCAATTCTATTTCTGAATAATAAGTTGGTTGTTATGCATAAAACAGAGTTTTGGGAATATAATTATGCTTTTTAAAATAAATTAGATACAAAATTAACATCCTAATTTATTTTGGAAAACAGACCTACGAAAATGTGTTAATAAAATGCAATGACTCTTCTCACTGAATTCTAGAATTGTCCATCCTACCAATGCTTATAATAAATCAGTCAGCGAAGATAGCATTAGGTGTGCTAAACTTTCACAGCGGCATACTTCTCAGTGCTAAATAAGAATACTGCTTCCTTTTATTCCTCTTCAACGAACACAGAACTTTGATGTGCCTCATGGCTCATAAACTTCTCTAACTACACTCATTTCCTACCTGATGTCATCAAGACTCTCAGCTTAAGACACCATCTTTGTGCTCATCATTTCCAAACTGATATAGCCAAGCTGAACCTCTCAACTTCAGACTCATATAATCAGCTACCTACTTAACAGCCTAAATGGATGCCTAACAGTCACTGCTGACATAGCATGACCAAAAGTAAGCTTATGACATTCCCTTCAGACCTGTTCATCTCATTATCTTCCCCATCTGCGTTAACGGCAATTCCATTCCACCTGTTCATCAAGGTCTCTCTGCACCCCCAACCGCCGCTGCCCCACGGTCATCTTCCACGAAGAATACTGTAATAGTCTCCTGTTTCCTCGCTTCTGCCCTTGTCCTCATTTTAGTCTATTATCAAAGCGGCAGAGTTATCCCATTGAAGGGTAAATCAAATCCTATCACTCCTCTATACCAATCCCTTCATGACCCCATCTCAAAGTAAAAGCTGAAGTCCTTATGGTGGTCTAAAGTCCCTCACACACTCCAGGCACCGACCCCCTTCCCTCTGACTTCATCTCCACTACTCTCCCTCTCTCTGCTCCAGCCTCCCTGGCCTCCTTGCGATTCCTAGAACATCCAGGTACCATCTTTCTACTCAGTGTTCTCTCTGCCTCAAACACCTGGTACCCTGATAGATCCTTAGAGCTCCCACATTAAGCCTTCAAGTCTTCACCCCAATGTCATTTTCTCAGTGAAGGCTTTCCTGATCACAATATCTAAAATCTGCAGTCCAGGGCAGGTGTGGTGGCTCATTCTTGTAATCCCAGCACTTTGGGAGGCCGAGGCTGGAGGACTGCTTGAGCTCAGGAGTTTGAGACCAGCCTGAGCAACACAGGAAGAACAGGCATTTAAAACAAAAAAACAAAAGCCAGTCACGCTGGCATATGCCTATTGTTTCAGCTACTCAGAAGGCTGAGGTGGAGGAATCGCTTGACTCCAGGAGTTCAAAGCTGCACTGAGCAATGACTGTTCCACTACACTCTAGCCCAGGTGACAGCGTGAGACCCTGACTCTAAAAATAAAAATTAAAAAATTAAATCACAACTCCCTCCCTACTTGGTCCTCCCCACACACACACCCATACCCCTCTTCTCTCTCCCTATGCTAAATCTCTTCCTTATCACTAACCACTACCTAACTTATTATATAGTTTATTTGTTTATCTAGTTCATCACTGGTTCCTGACTAGGATGCAAACTCCGCAAAGGCAGGGCTTTCATCTGCTTTGTAGACCACTGCTCCTCCATGCATTATCCTGGCATGCTCAGGCCTCAGATGCCAGGATTTTGGTCAACACCTGGGCCTCTCTCATTCACACCCAGGCACTGGCTCAGTCACCCTAGCACTCTGGGTGAAGAGGAATGAATATAGGATCAGTGGTTCTTTTGTTCAGTCAATGAGCACCTGGCACCATCAGTCTGCCCTTGAGCCCAGCAGGTGCATTTTTTTGGGGAGCTACCCCACCATGGAATGCCAAGGAGTCCAGGGCCGGATACCATTCCTATCGGCAAACACTAGACCAGGGTAGACACTGTGTGCCTCTGGTGTTTGCCACGTGCTGCCTCTAACAGGTGCCATTCACAACCACCACTAGACTGACCCATTTTAAGAAACGTACCCATTGAATACAGTGAAACTGGGGAGGCCGAGGCCAGGAGCACTGCCTCACTGGGTCAGTCCCACTGCTGGGCTAGGACACCTGTGGTCCTTTCTTCTCACCCTGGAGCTGCATCTGTGTGAGGGGCTTGCCCCTAAGCCAGCCCACCTGACACCATGAGGCCCCTGCCTTAAACAACTCTAAGTTCTCCCATAGCAACTAAGCTAGTTCTGGCTACCTATTGATTTGAAAAGGTTTTTAGAAAGAAATTTGCATTTTCCCAGGAACATCAGCGCTACATTATCCAAACAAACAACAAAACTAGAACACAAGAGGCAATGGATTACGAAAGGGAAGGGCTATAAACAAAGACCAAGGAATAGCAAATAATGACTTTAACAGACACTTCCATGATTCTGCTGTGGTCTGTGTGTTTGTGTCTCCTGAAAATTCAGTTTGAAATCCTAACCCCCAAGATGACAATACTAGCAGGTGTGGACTCTGGAGGTGATTAGGTCATGAAAGTGGAGCCCTATAAATGGGATAAGTGCCCTTCTAAAAGTAGGGTGGGAGCAGGTGTGGGGATAGTGGGACATGCCCTTGCCCTTCCGCCATATGATGACACAGCCAGGAGGTACTGTATGTACAGAAGGGACCCTCATCAGACTCGGAATCTGCACGGGGCTTCCCAGCCTCCAGAACTGGGAGAAACAAATTCCTGTTGCTCATAAGCCACCCCGCCTATGCTGTTTTGTTACAGCAGCCCAAGGGGACTAAGACGGGTACTGTGCCCTAGATTAGCTCATTTAATATTCACGAGGATCTATGAAACAGGCACTGGGTGATTTCCCGTTGAGGAAAGTGAGGTACAGAGAGGTCAGTAGCCTAATTCACAGCCCTGTGAGAGATTGGCCAAGATTCGTAACCTGGGCAGTCTGGCTCCAGAGTCCGTGCTCTTAGTGAAAACTGCAGCTCTTTTCGGACAGTGGTTCCCTCGAAAAACAAAAAAACTGAAGCCCAGAGGCTGGAGCCAAGGGCCCGGAAAGGCAAGGAGCGAGGGCTGGCGCGCAAGGGCTCGGGGCGGACCGGCGGGGGCTGCCTCTCCTGCGGGTCACCTGGGGTTGAACTGGAATTGTTCAATAGCGGCCTCGAGGCCCTGGAGGATCTTCCGGCACTCCTCGGTCTCAGGCGTGTCGCCCCAGCTCGCCATCGCTGCTCGAGACGCGCGCCCCCTGCAGAGCCGCGCCCTAGGCTGAGTCGGAGTCCGGAACCCAGCGTCCGTTGCTATGGAGACTCCCGGGGAACCAGCGAAACAAGGGAATCCGTGGGCAGGGCCCGAGCAACGAGGGTGGGTGGAGGGGGGTGGGGAGGAAGGAGGGAGAAGGGGGAAGGAGAGGGGGAGGAGGGGGTAGGGAGGAGGTTGGGAAGAGGGCAGGGTGGGGAATGCGGAGGGAGAGAGGGAGGCGAAGGGGAGAGAGAAAGGAAAGAGGGGAGGTGTGGAGGGAAGGAAGAGGGGGAAGGAGTAGGGGGTGGAGGAAGAGATGGGGAGGGAGCACGAGCAGGAGGAGGGGTTGGGAAGTGGCGAGGGGGAGGGGCGCGCTCCGGAGCCACTTCGCCTCCCTTCCAGGGTCCCGTCTGCCTCAATGCTTCCCCACAAGGCGCCCACAGCCCGGAGGCGGCTGTGAGGTCCCAAAGGAAGCCTGCACCCCTGCAAATAACCCTTCAGCCTCCCGCCACGTCCCGGACCCCGCTCGCTTCCTCCTCTCCCCAGGCCCTGAGCTCAGCCTACCTCGCGGACCTGCGCGTTTGCCGGGGCTTGGATTCCGGAGCTTCTCACTTCCTCTGCGCGCCTCAGACCCGCAGCTCGGGGGCCTTGGCTTTCATGGCCTCCCAGCGCGTGCCACAGGTCCCCCTTAGGGAGGAGGAAAAACTGAACCCATCTAATAACTGCTCATGACAGAATGAGCCCAGTGATCCCGGAGCAAGGCCATCGTAAGAGGAGAGCAGGGGACCTAATAAACGACCCCCACCTGCCACAAACATAGGCGTTCCCGGACAAAGTATTGCCTTGCAGAGATTAAACAGATTCCTATTGAATAAGGTCAGAATATAAACCGTTAGGTCTTAAACTATGCGGTCTAGTGTGGAATTCAATTTTACTGAGTTTTTACAGTAACAAGAGAACTTGAGAGTGAGACTGTTGTCATCTTTTGTTTTAAATTACGTATTACCCGTCGTCAACCGTTAGGAGACACCTTTTCTAATATCAATATGTCATTGCCATTGTTTTTCTGTAAACACTGGCTAAATTTCTTTTAAAAATGTCATTGGTTTAGAACTGTCTATACTACATCTGCATTTCAATATATTATTTATAGAAAAATAATTTTTTTCTTTTTTTTTTGGAGACAGAGTCTCGCTCTGTCGCCCAGTGGCGCCATCTTGGGATCTCGGCTCATCGCAACCTCTGCCTTCCAGGTTCAAGCAATTCTCCTGCCTCAGCCTCTCGAGTAGCTGGAACTAAAGGCACCTGCTGCCAGCCTGGTTAATTTTTTTTTCCCCATTTGTTTATTTTATTGCATTTTAGGTTTTGGGGTACATGTGAAGAACATGCAAGATCGTTGCGTAGGTACACACGTGGCAGTGTGATTTGCTGCCTTCCTCCCCATCACCTATATCTGGCATCTCTCCCCTTGCTATCTCTCCCCAGCTCCCCACCCCCAACTGTCCCTCCCCTATTTCCCCCCAACTGACCCCAGTGTGTAGTGCTCCCCTCCTTGTGTCCATGTGTTCTCATTGCTCAACACCCTGACTAATTTTTTAAATCTATTTTTAGTACAGTATAGACAGGGTTTTACTGCGTTGCCCAGGCTGGTCTCCAACTCCTGAGCTCAGGCAATCTGCCCACCTTGGCCTCCCAAAGTGCTAGGATTACAGGTGTGAGCCACCGCGCCCGGCCTATTCTCTCTTACAACAATAAGTGAAAAAGAAGTTAGTTGGATATTACAAGCTCAGAATAGGAAAAGAAAACTGTTTTCTTAGCATTATCACTACTCTTAATGTTTAAACACGAAGATAACCAATGCCAAAATCATCATCTGTGAAGACTTGTTTTTTGGGAGGGAGGTGAAGAGAGAAGAAAAAAGAGAGTTACTTTTACTCTATGGAGGTTTTTAATTTCAAAATCTAACTTCAGCTTTCTTTGGGGAATTTTAATTATATAATCAAAAGGTATTTTAAAAGAAATTTACATATCTACAATAATTTTCCTAAGTGATATTTTACCACAATGAATATACATGTTTTAAAATAAGATTAAAATTCCAAGTTAAAATTAAAAATCCTATCTGTTTAGAGCTGGGCCAAGACAGTGTAAAGAATATGACAAGCTGTTGGCTATTTTGCTAGTGCAATTATAAATGAATAGTTTGAAACTGAGGAGAGCGATCGCACAGAAGATTGCATGAGTCATTGGTCAGCTCTGTACAGCATTTGTTGACTGATATGGCCTGCATAGTTACACCATCCCACAAAAACATGCATTGAACAAAACATCTTTGTTTGAAACCTTGCTGTAGCATATCAAGGAGTTTCAGATTTCAGTGTCTAACAGACCAAACTATGATGATGATTGTTTTTGAAACCGTTAACTACATAATACTTCTCTTCTTGTCAGTTACCTGTATTTTATCTCACAGGTGTTCTGGCTTATAAAATTGTTTATTTCAGATCACATTCTCACCTATAGTAACTGGAGTTGGCGCGGTCAAAGCATTTGTCATATTAAATCCAGGTCTCTTTCATCACATGCTAAATTCATTGATGGTTTTTAGTGGAAAGCTCACGAACTCTGCAGTAAATATTAAATACATATAGGCTTTGAAACTTGACTCAGTTTAGAATGTTGGACAAGTAACTTAACATTTCAGAGCCTCTGTTTTCTCACACAAGTAAAATCTGGATAATGAATGTTTCTCAAAGAAAAGTTGGGAGTAATCTATAAAGCAGAAAAACACACAGCACGTGCATGAGGCAACTGCAAGAGAAATACCAACTAGGTTTTTGAAGGACTTTTCCTTCTTCCTAAACCACAACTAGGGAAAACATTGTTTAAAGATTTCAATGTTTTGGCTGGAAGAGGTGGCTCACGCCTGTAACCCCAGCACTTTGGGAGGCTGAGGCAGGCAGATCACTTGAGGTCAGGAGTTAAAGACCAGCCTCGTCAACATGGTGAAACCATGTTTCTATTGAAAATACAAACATTAGCTGTGTGTGGTAGTGCACGCAGCTACTTGGGAGGTTACTTGGGAGGCTGAGGCATGAGAATCACTTAAACCCAGGAGGAAGAGGTTGCAGTGAGTTGAGATTGCACCACTGCACTCCAGCCTGGGGGACAGAGTGAGACTCTGTCTCAAAAAAAATATATATATATATTTTTCAATGTTTAAAAAATTACACATTTCATAATCTAAAATTGTTTTTACTTGTTAATAGGACTTCAGGCAGAATTTTAAAATTTAAAGTGCTTCTCTGACATACCACATGTATAAATAGCATATATATTTATATAAAAATATTGCCTACCAGTTATTAAAAGTGATAACATCTCAGATTAAGTAGCATGAGGATTTGATTAAGAGTCAAGTGCTGACTTGAAACATAGTAATTTATATATTCCAGTTGGATAGTATCAGTTCTATAGTCTAATAAGAGCCAAGAGGTTTCAGTTTAGGTTTGTAATTTAAATTCTTTCTACAGAGTCATCACATGTGAAGTGCTTATTTTTCTTTTATCACCAGCTATAATATATGATTATGTGGTGGAAGCTCTGTTATGTAAACTTGTTTTATGTCATGCTTCATCCATAACCAACGTTCTTAAATAAAGTCTTGGGAAAGGACATAGTGAAACTCTTAGCAGGACAATATTATGCTACTAAATCCTTTATGGAAAAACTCCTGAGATTAGATCATTTTAATGTCTTAAATTTTGCTGCTATGAGAGAGCAAATCCACTCTGTGAAAGTCCATCAATAAGCATTTGTCACTCGACTAAAGCTGAAAACCAAGATGACAAGCCCAAGAGGGGGTTTGGGACAGGCGCAACGGTGGATATGGAATTTGGATCCTTGCTGCCAAATGTCCGTGAGCACTGGAGTAAAAGATTTCCTCTATTTGGAGCTAGTTTAGATCATCACTGTTTGAAAGAGAGTAGCCCTGAGTGGGGCTCATGCCTGCACAACACTTTAGAAGGCCGAGGTGGGCAGATCACTTGAGTGCAGAAGTTCTAGGCCAGCTTGCGCAACAGTGAGACTCTGTCTCTACAAAAAATGGAAAAGAGAGAAAGAAATAGTAGTGAATGTGAAGAAAATGGCAGGGCTGGGTTGGGCCTGTAATCCCAGCACTTCCGGAGATCGAGGTAAGTGGATTGCTTGAGCCCAGGAGTTCAAGACTAGCCTGGGCATTGTAGGGAGACCCCATCTCTGCAAAAAAAAAAAAAAAAAATTTTTTTTAATTAGCGAAGCACCCAGAGTCCCAGCTACCCAAGAGGCTGTGGCAGGGGGATCACTTGAGCCTGGGAAGTCAAGGATGTAGTGGTCTGTGTTTGTGCCACCGTATTCTAGCCTGGGTGACAGAGCGATAGCCCATCTCAAATAAATAAATAAACAACCAAACAAATGGCAGGGCTTAGCTATCTGCAGAAGTGAGCCCACCTGAGAAAGAATTGTAAACTTACTACTGAGGGAACTTTGGAAGATCTCCAGTCTGTTCAAATGACCAGAGTGGATCCTTGTGCCCAAAACAAAATCTAGGAAAACTGTAACTCACACGTTGGAATTTAGGCTGAGGCGGTTCATGACAAGTCAAAGTCTGGAGAATAATACAAGGGGAGTCAGCATATTTCATGCCATCTAAGATTGCATCCTTGAGGATGTGTCTTTATTTTCTGTGCCACTTAGAAAAAAACACTGCCAACTATGATTATAACTTGACACACCATGGATTGTATCATACACTCCAATTTCAAAAATTTACCACAATGATATACCAAAATTTCATGTGAAAAACTGTCCGGGCTCACACTTGTAATCCCAGAACTTTGGGAGGCCCAGGTGGGCAGATCACCTGAGGCCAGGAGTTTGAGACCAGCCTGGTCAACATGGCAAAACCCCATCTCTACTAAAAATACAAAAATTAGCCAGGTGTGGTGACATGCACCTGTTGTCCTAGCTACTTGGGATGCTGAGGCAGGAAAATCCCAGGAGGCAGAGGTTGCAATGAGCCGAGATTTCACCACT